AGGGAAACTTAAAACTTTAACATGACCTCCATAATTCAAGTTTCCCTTCAACTCCCTCTCTAGTATTATCAACAAGAAAAAAAATCATTAGCAAATAGCATACACCATTGTACCTTCACTTGCAAATGTCCAGTAAGAGCATCTATGACTAAAGAAAAAAAATAAATGGGCTGAAAGGTGAACCTTGATGTAGTCATACTGATATCGGAAAAAACTTGGTTAAACCAATTTGTATTTAAACAAGTAATAGCTCTATAACTTCTCCATCAAAACCTCTGAATAAATATATAGCTTCCATAGTTGACCTACACGACATGAATGCAAATTGATTTTAAGAAACATTAATATCAGCCCATGACCTATGCTCTATAACTAACTCTCTCCCATAGTTTTAAAGTATGACAAATTAAATGAGGATCATCATCTTGCAACACTTAACTTAATTTTATGCTTCTCTTTTAGGGGTCAACATTTTGCACTATAAAGCATTGCAGATATCAACACCATCTTATAGAATTCTGCACTATAAAGCATTGCACGTATCAACACCATCTTATAGAATTTTCTCTTAAGTTTGAGGGGTACAATTCTATCACACAACAGCCCCAATGCATTCCTCCATTTCAACCATCCAATTTGAATTCTACTAATAATATCCCCATTTATTTCGCCATCACTTTGAATAACATACCAAAGATATCTAAGATGTGGACTTTTTTTAATGAGTTCTTCCCCCAAAATCAGAATCTCCCACAAGATCTATTACTATTAAATTGCACTCCATTTGTTCAATTTTAGATTTACTCAAAGGGAAACTTTAAACTTTATCATGACCTCCATAATTCAAGTTTCCCTTCAACTCCCTCTCTAGTATTATCAACAAGAAAAAAAACATTAGCAAAAAGCATACACCATTGTACCTTCACTTGCAAATGTCCAGTAAGAGCATCTATGACTAAAGCAAAAAAAGAAATGGGCTGAAAGGTGAACCTTGACGTAATCATACTGATATCAGAAAAAACTTGGTTAAACCAATTTGTATTTAAACAAGTAATAGCTCTATAACTTCTCCATCAAAACCTCTGAATAAATATATAGCTTCCATAGTTGACCTACACGACATGAATGCAAATTGATTTTAAGAAACATTAATATCATGCCATGACCTATGCTCTATAACTAACTCTCTCCCATAGTTTTAAAGTATGACAAATTAAATTAATTCCTCTATAATTAGCACAATCTTGTGCTTCACCAAGACAAAAAAACCAATGCCGAATAAAATAAATAAAAATTAATAATGAAATTAAAAAAACATAATTGGTAGTCTAATTCTTTAGACAACTGGAAACTGCAGTTTGCTAGCATTAAACGAGGCTCAATTAATCCTTAAATACAACTTAGAGAAAAACCAAGCAACAGAATTTATGTTTTGAAGTAACAGATAGGCTCAAAATCTGCTAATTAGTCAAAATTTATTGTTGTGAAGTAACAGATAGTGCATTTTTGTAGAAGTAGTTTCAATAGAGCTTCCACCACAAGCGATGTAGAAAAATATTCTGTGGCATTGTCCACTTAAAAATAATGATATGATTCGCTGACAACCCAAAATAACTGGGGCAACGATAACAAATAAAGAATACAACTGAGCAACTAGGTGTAAATGAGCTAAAGCTTGAACAAGTTGTAGCCGTGTTTGGGTCAGTTCATTTCCTAACAAACTAGAGTAGGTAAAGCAGAGGAACATGAACTTTTTGCAAACATCAAGCTACATTGATAACCATAAGAGCAACCAATTGGAATTCAATAATGTATCTTCAAGTGCAAGCCCAAAATTCAGTATGACCGCTTGATAGGAAAAGGATTTAAAATCCACAATATGTATATATAATTCTCACAATGGCTGCATCTGCATGATCAGAAGACAGATAACATGCCACCCAACAACAAAAGACAATAAGCCATGGGATTCTCAAAGATCTTATCCAATCCGACGATCCCACATCCCCCCAAGGGCAGTCCACTGCACTACATCACAGGTTGCAACCTATTACAAGCGAATTTAATCAATAATACTTCCCCAATCTAGAATGTGATGCTCAATGCTAGGCCCATCCTGCACATTTGCACTATTTTTACGTCTACAAAAAGGAAACTGATCATCATTGTCTCTTCCTTTAAAAAATAAAACAAATTAAATTCAATTAACTTCCAAGGACCAAGCAACATAAACATCATTGCCCAATCTGCAACATAGACAAAAATCAGAAATTGAAATATTTTTTTCAAAGATTTGCCCGTAATTATTTATCGAAGTATGAATTCACAAACGAAGCAGCGACGAAAGACTATGCATGCAACTAAACAATAGACAACCTTTTGAAATGGTGTGAATGAGAACAAAACATTTGTTGTTTGCAAACTGAGAAGCCCAATCACAACAATAAAAATAAAATAAAAAATGTCAGATCCAGAATGATGACAGAAACAACTGAGGGGTGGCACTGCATCGGTTGCCTGAGGAGAGGATCCCCTGGCCATCCATGAAGCAGCCACCTCTCTGCGGCTAACCAAGCCCAACAAAGCCACATATTTCAGATCAACAGCTGTTGAAGGGCAAATTATTGCATCCGGTCACCGGACGGGGAGAATAGGTTCGGACTGCTATTCCGTGCGAAGTCCGGACGTAGCTCTACCTCCTCCGGACTACACGAAATACATTTTAGATCATTCGAGAGTGGAAGCCAGTCATCAGGCTACGGCAACACCAACTAAAGAAACGTTAGAACTAAAGAGAGAATGAATAACTGACTATTCTCTTTCCCTCCCTGGCTGTCCAAGCCCAACAAAGCCACCAATTTCAACAACCTTCGGATCATTGGAGTTGAAGCCAGAAGTCGAGGCTAGGGCACAAATAAAATTAGGGGATTTACACACATACCACAAAATTCTAATGAATTCAATTAGGAGAAAAGACCCAAGACGAAAAGTCGCAAATTTCAGATCATCCGAGAGCGGAAACCAGCCGTCAGGCCAGGGCAATACAGGAAACATTAGATCCAAGAGGAACGAGAAATAAAAACTCTCTCTCTCTCTCTCTCTCTCTCTCTGAAGCCAACCAAGCCACAATTTCGGATCAATGGAGAGGAAGCCACTCTTCAGGCTAGGGCACAAACGAAATAAGGAAAAAGTATTCTGTGCTGACATCAGAACCTAAGGATCCAAGAAGAAGGAGAAAAAACCCTAAGGGGCTGTTTGGCAGCAGGATTTAGGCTTCGTTTGATTCGATTTAGGCTTTGTTTGTTTGAGCGTTTTTTTGTCTTCTCCGTTTCCTAAAATGGAGGAATTTTTTTTTGTGTTGTTTGGTTCATCAAATCACGTTCCCAATAACTCTTTTTTCTCATTTTTCTGCAGTTTTGAGAAAGCTTTTTATATGTGCTTCTCCGTTAGAAAACTCCATTTTCTGAACTAATGTTTTTTAAAACTATGTTTTACAAAAGCACAAAAAAAACAAACGAAGCCTTATGCTTACATAAAAAAGAGTTTTAGAAAAGGAGGTTGAGAAAAAGCCGTTCAATAAAATGGAGTTTCAATAATGAGATATGTTTGACTAATATTTTTAAAAGTGTTTATTAATACTTGAAAGTAATTTTAAATTGTTTGTTTAGGAGTTCTGCTTTTGAGATTTTATTATAAACGACATAATTCGCTTCCGAAACTCCATTTTGTGACCGAAGAAGCAGATACGAAAAGAAAAGAATTTTGTAACCGCCGAAAAAACGATGTTTATTAAAAAGGAATTATTGTTAAGCTTTGATTCCAAACAGTAAATATTAATTGATTTTGGCGTATTCAAACGGAAACGGAGAAAAAAAGCCTAATCAAACGATGTAAACCATTTTTTCTCAAAATTATGCAAGTTTTGTTTACATCAAAAATGAACAAAGATGATTTATATTATGCACCAAACAACCCTTTTATAAATTCAATAGTCAAGTAGGGCGGTTTGATTTGAAGTAAAAAATGAATGCATGGTAGTTTAAATACAAAGATTTTTGAAATAGGAATATTTTGTTTGAAGTAAATAAAAACATAGTAAATTTTTAGCATGTTTGAAATGGACACTCTAATGTAGTTTTTTTTGTATGTTAAAATTTATATTAGTGTAGTTAAAAATTGATAGATTTGAATGATTTTAAATGCACCATATTTTTTTGTCCTTACAATTGGCCTTTGGCTGCTCCCAACACTATCATCACTATTCGTTGCTATGGTCAACCACCACCGATTGCCGCCGCCACCGTCAACCACTATCACCGCCACGAATTACTGACCACCGTCATTTTTTTTTGCTTTATATTGCATTCATTTTAATTCAAATTAAATATTTTAAATACTTATATTATTTTTTCAACAAACCAAATTGCTATTAAAATAAAAAATAATAATTTCCATCTCTCTCATCTTAATCCATTAAAAAAAATCAGTCCCATATTATATTCACATTTTCCAAAATCCCTTCAACCTAGGGCTTTCAAAACCGGGTCACGGGTCGGGTTCGGGTCCAACCCGAAATTGATCCGACACTATTCAACCCGACTCGAACCTGACCCGTTTTTGCAAACAGGTTGGTTTTTTGAACCCGAACCTGACCCGATTCGGATATATTTTATTACATATTTTAATTTAATTCAATTTATTTAAATCTAAATCAAATTAATGTAAGATTTACTTCAATTAATTTAAAATAAATCAAGATTAATTTAATTTGGACAATAATGTTTATAATTTTTTAAAATATCATTTACTTAGTTCATAAAAATCCTTTAAAACCCTCATAAATTAATTTAAAACGGGTCAAACCGGATTGATTTTGAATTTCCGGGTCAACCCAAACCCAACCCGATTTTACAAACGGATCGAAATCCCTAACCCGAACCCGACCCTAACCACCCGAACCTCATATTTTCGGGTCCCTACTTCTACATTTTTATGAGAGATGATGTTCTTGTCTTCCAATTAACATAGCAGAACTGCAGAACCCTAATCCATGGCTTGGCGATGGCGGCTCATCAGCTTCTTGCTCTGGCTCCCATCGTTCTGGAATGACTGGAACGAGCCTTGTCGGAGACATTTACTGAATCAAGATTCCAAAGAAGCTTTCTCCATCGCAAGCAAACAGTACAGAACTGCTTTCCATTTCCAGCCACCTCAAAACTGGATCAATGGTTTTCCCGCTTCTTTAATTCTTCTCAGCACTGTTAGTTAGTTTCATTAGTCTTTTGACTCTTCTAAGTTGCTCATGATTAGCTTCTAACCTCCATTTTGTTTGTAATTTTTGGCATGCGAACAAACTGAAATATGAGGTTAATGAAATCTTCCAGATCCAAATGGTACTATTCCCATTTTTAGCTCGCTTATTCTTTCATTCTTATATGAGCAATTGCTTAAAAAGGAGGAAAACTAGATTTAAGATGGTAGCAAGATTTCTATTATGCAATATTTGGCCTAAATCTTGCTGCCATACAAACCCTTAATGGGAATTTCTTTGAAAACTCTATCAATTTGCGTTTTCAATGAGTTGTTTATTGAAGCCAGTTACCAACAAAACCAAATAGGGCCAATGCTCTACAATGGCATTTATCACCTCTTCTACCAATACAATCCATACTCAGCAAAGTGGGGCAACATCACATGGGGACACTCCATATCCACAGACCTCATCAACTGGACTCCCCTCGACATCGCTCTCAGGCCATCGGAGCCCTTTGATCTGCAAGGATGCTGGTCTGGCTCTGCCACCATTCTTCCAGGAAACAAGCCGGTTATCCTTTACACAGGCATTAGTGAATCAGGTCATAATGTTCAAAACATAGCATTACCAAAGAACATCTCAGACCCTTTCTTACTAGAGTGGGTAAAGCCTCCCTACAACCCAGTAATGGTTGCAGAAGGAGTCAAACCAACTCAATTCAGAGACCCCTCCACTTGTTGGCTAGGTAAGGATGGCTTATGGAGAACGACGGTAGGCGCTGAGGATTTTGAAAAGAAGGCAAAGGCTTTACTTTACAGAAGCAAGGATTTTGTGAAGTGGACAAGAGCTGAGCAACCATTGTTTTCTACTGATTCATCGTCAATGATAGAATGCATCGACTTCTTTCCGGTGTCTGCGAAGTGGAAGAGAGGATTGGATGGTTCCACAATTGAAGCAGAGGACGTGAAACATGTGTTGAAGATGGGTGTGTTTGATAACTCGCATGATTACTACTTGATAGGGAAGTATTTGGAAGAGTTGGACGAGTTCATCCCTGAGAATGTGGTCGAAGATGATCACCGAATGTGGCTGAGATATGACTATGGGAGTTTCTATGCGTCGAAGACATTCTTTGATGCTGAGAATAGGAGAAGGGTCTTGTGGGCGTGGTCGAATGAGTCTGATACTATCTCTGATGATATTGTGAAAGGATGGGCAGGTGTACAGGTGAGTAATTTCGTCGAACACTTTTGTTTCTTGCCTTTTATGTTCCATTAAAAAAGCTCAGGATTCATTTATTATGTTTTGAGCTTCAGACTGTTCCAAGGACTATTTGGCTTGATGAGAATGGAAAGCAATTGGTGCAATGGCCGGTTAGGGAGCTGGAGTCCTTAAGGATGGAAAAAGTAGAATTGAAAGATGTAAAAGTCAGTAAGGGAGGTCTCATTGAAATCAAAGGAGTAAAAGCATCACAGGTTGGTGGTTTACCTATTTTAAATACACCTTTCCTCTAAGTCAAAAGCATGGAGTAAGTTGCATGAATCCAAGTCAAAGGTGGACTTGATAAATCTCAATTTTGATCGAGAATTTATCAAATCCTGCTAATCCAAACTTTATCTCATACAGGATAGTGGCCTTTGATTAGGTGTTGATGTAAATTAACATAAATCCTCCTTAAAAGTGGCCAACCAAACAGAAAATTGTACAAGTTTGTTTGTAGTACTTGCTAATTCTTATAAAGGTACTATAATTATTGTATCTCAACCATGACAAGCAGGCTGATATCGAGGTGGAATTTGAGTTTCCAGAGCTCAAAAAGGCTGAGCTCATCTACCATGATTGGAAGCTTGATGATGCGCAGATGGCCTGCGACGAAATGTGTTCTTCAGTTCCGGGAAGTATAGGACCTTTTGGTCTGCTTGTTTTAGCTTCTCATGACCTTGAAGAACACACTGCAATTTTTTTCAGAGTTTTCAAGACTAGTACTGCTCATGCTGTTCTTATGTGCTCTGATCAAAGAAAGTATGTTGTTAATTTATGAAATTAGGTTCAGCTCAATCATTTTCTACTATTTCATTGCTTACAACTTCATGATTTGCTTTTTCATACAACAAAAAAGATCTTCATTGTGGCCTGAACTGTACAAGCCTGCATTTGGAGGCTTTGTCTCCACTGACATAAAAGAGGGGAAGATTTCTCTAAGGACTTTGGTATGTTTGTTAATGTGTCATTATTCAGGCTTCATTTGGGATAATTTTTTTAATGCTTCTTAAAACAATTTTTTAATATAAAAATTTAGGGGGTGTTTGGTATCGGATTTGTCCGCCGTTTTTAGTAGGATTTAGCGTAAATCCAGCCAAACGCAATCCGTACTGCTATAAATCCAGCAAATCCGTAAATCTAGGATTTACAAATTTACCGCATAAATCTGGTAAATCCTTCTAAATCCTAATTTCATTCATATTCGGATTTAACGAGTTGTGGAACTTCTTCCCGTGGCGCCCACGTAATCTGTTGCCAAACAACTATGGATTTACAAGATTTAAAATTTGTCATACCAAACACTTTTTATGATTTATGAGCCTAGGATTTACTAAATTCGGATTTACATGATTTAATAAATCATACTAAAATTGAATCCAATCCTATACCAAACGTCCCCTTATTGTATTTAAAAGTTGCTTTAAGAAGCAGTAAGAAAGTCATTTCAAACGAAGCCTTAATTAGTATTGATCAACCTTTCTGATTTCTAGCTTCTTGTCTTGAAACAGATTGATCATTCGGTTGTGGAGAGCTTTGGAGCTGGAGGAAGAACCTGCATCACTGCTAGAGTATATCCGAAGTTGCTGCTTACTGGAGACACTCATATATATGTATTCAACAATGGGTCTGAAACTGTGAAGATAACGAAGCTGAAAGCATGGGAAATGGCAAAAGCTCGGATTAATTGAGTATGTAAAAACCCTTAGAACCTTTATTTTTCATACCTATAAAGGAATCGAACGTTAGATGCAATTCAAAGCTCATTGTTTTCCCCTAAATTTTCTTATGTTTCAATGAAAAATAGATGAAAATCCTCTTTACTGCGATTTGTGTAAAAGTCCAATTTATTGATATATATGTTTAGGTAGTTTTGCCACAAATTGTTTGGTTGCTGTTTTAGTGCAATTTTTCAAAAAAATTGTGATGGGAAATAATTATTTATGATAAAATATATTAGAGTATTATATCTATAAGAAAATTATCATTCAAATCTTTTAAAAAATAATCTCCAAGGACTTTGGTAGGCTCCAAATTACATGGAAAGTATTAGAAAGAAAAAAAATTAACGAACTATTTTAATTTTACCAAGCAGCTTAGGCATGTGAGATCGGAGAAATTATTGTGCGGAGTCTGAATGCTGTGAGTGTATAGTATGTACATGATGTGCATAAAAATATAGTGTATTTTTGTACACACCATTTACAATCACACGCCTAATTGTAAACTCTATGTATGGACTCTGCATATTTTCTTGTGAGATTGAGGTTGATTTTATGAGAAATTACAATGTAAAGAATGCTCAAATCAATTTTATATTTGTTTATAATATGTTATATATAAAATTTTCTTATTCTCACCATTCTGTATAGACACTCACATTCATACTAAAATCATGATGATTTAAGAAAATCAAAGCTAAACTCAAAGATTTTTTGAGTAAAAATCATTTAATCATCACTTCTTTAATGAATGTAATAACTCAACAATCATTTGGTCAAAAGAATATGAAGAAAAACCTTGAAGAATCTTTTGCATATAATCCTACATAATCTTGAATCTTATGAGTTCCAGTACACAGACCAAATGATACAATGCAAGCAAAAGATCGTAAATTCATGAAGATATAGAACAACATATAAGTTATCATGCTTGCATATCCATCATTTGAGTCTCCAACAATTATTCCAATAATTACATATCCAATTTGATCGATGAACAAATATATACATCCATAAATTTATCATACAAGTTTAATACTAATGTGTCGTATGCCATTTAAATCTGACCCATCATTAATTCATCATTTGTTTCAATTTCTAGCTTGGATAAATAATATGGCTCTATTTATGAATCAATACAAATATTTTAATAAATAATTAATTAAGCATAATTAACACAATTTTAAATTAAAAAATAATTATTGCTAATGTCTCCAACAAAAGATTAGCAAGATTATTTATAAACCTCATTACCTTACCAAGCATGATATAACCATAGAGATAATTTTTAATCTTTTGTTCTACTTCACAATAACTTTTTATGTTTTAACCCATCAATAGCAAACCCCATCAACAACATCAAATATTCAAAAGTCTGGTCTTTAAAAATTCTTATTCAGAACAAGAAGAAAATCTTAAGAACTTCGAATGTCCTGAATACAATAGAAAGTCTCACAAAGCAATGAAACAAGAACAAGCTACAATCAGCAAAATTCTTACTATTAGATTATCATATCCCCTCTTCAACGATTCTTCACTAAAGCAGAAGAAGGTTTGACAGACAAATGCATCCATTATAGTCTCCTCCCCCTTCTACCGCCCTTTCTACGGGTGCTGTCAGTTGGAATTGGAGTAACATCCTCTGCAAGTAAAGAAATATAACTATATTATGTAATGCCACTCATCAAACAATAAATTATCATAACTTAGGAGAGAATAATCACAAAAAAAAAATAAAGAAAAACATAATAACTTCAACAGAACCTGTGATGTTATATTCTATCCCTGCATATATTTGTTGAAACATATCATGCCAGAATAATTCAGACTCTTCAATCATATAATTCAACAGTAAACAAAAATGCAATTATTACAACATGAAAGTTTTGGATTGAAGGAATTAAAAGAGAGAAAACAAGAAGGAAATAAAAAACTTCATTGAAATGAAATTAATTTTCACTCGCTCCTTTGGTTGAGGATAAGCTGAGGAAAAAAACTAACTCTTTTGCTCGGGTGTTTGAATAATGAAGGAAAATTTTTAAATTGAAAAGGAAAAATTCAATTCTACTTCAGCTTCTGCTTTTCACCGGCTTTAAATACAGAAATGTAAAAAAGATATATAAATATGTGATTATTACAACAATTTCTTATGACGTATAAATGTAAGATGGTAACTATAAGGCAAAAAATATTTCTTCTATGCTTTAATTCCTCCAAAACAAACGCATCCACCATGAATGAAATAAGCAAATTTAACAAAAAAACTTACCAATGCGCCCAATTTTCATTCCAGAGCGTGCAAGAGCCCTGAGAGCAGATTGAGCACCAGGGCCTGGAGTTTTGGTTTTATTCCCCCCGGTGGCCCTGAGCTTAATATGCAAAGCAGAAATACCAAGTTCCTGCAAAAAAATGATGAAGAACACCAAATTTAACGGCATGCATATAAATACAACAAACTTCAGAAGGTGGTAATAACTAATTCTGCACCTTGCATCGTTGTGCAACATCCTGTGCTGCAAGCATAGCTGCATATGGTGACGATTCATCCCGATCAGCTTTGACTTTCATTCCGCCTGCAAATGGCATTGAAAAAAAAAGTCTAGAAGCAAAATAATAGATTAAGGCTTCGTTTGGGACGATTTTTTTACTACTTCTTAAAACAACTTTCTAATATAAAAGTTGTAATTTTTGCTGTTTTAAGAAGCAGCAAAAAAGTCGGTCCCAAATGAAGCCTAAATAACCAACATCATCCTAGCATTAAAGCCGAATGGTGAAAATGACTGAATCATGGTAAATAGCCCAAGCATGAAATAACTAGAAGTTGTTTCAAATCCTTGATGCTTAATGAAGGGTTGAGCAAGTCAGAAACAATATTCTATGCCTCAAAGATTCAGTTCATGGGACAATTGCCTCACACATCTAATTGATTCATCATGCTTGCCAACAGAATTATGAAAAATTTAGAAATAAGCAAATAAAATCAAGTGAAAATTCAAGCAAAACAATACTGTATAACTTAAAATTAAAATGCAAAGACAGTTAAATTCACTTGAATAACTTCAAAAACAGATTAACAAACCATTTCAACATTCCACAACACTTAACAATTAGGCAAGTAAGGAACCATATTCTTTGCCTCAAAAGTTAAGTCAAGAGCACAATTGGTCTCACACAATTAATTGATTCTTTATGCTTGCCAGCTAAAAATGTTTAAATTCCAATCTAGAGCAATAAATCCAAAAAAATATTAAAAATCATATAATAATTAAAACAAGCAATAATTAACATAAAGATTTTAGATTCACAAAAAAGCAAATATATGAATAAAAAGTTTGAGACAATTATGCAAAAAATGGCTTCACACAGCTCCTCAAATGTCTTCCACTTCCTTGCACCAAGACTTTTCATGAGACTTACAGCAAGATAAACTCAAAAGGGATCAGAAGAAATAGTAGTAAATACTGTCATTCTAAAAATCCACATTTGAGATAAATCACAAGCTAAAATAGGGTTCTTGATGACATGGAGATGGAAAGGATCCAAAGAAGAAAGCTTTAGATCCTTTTGAAATAATGTAGCGAAGCAATGACTCAAAACGCTTCCACTTGGAATAAGGAAGGCGATCTTAAGGGCCTCGCATTGACAACTTCTAATATACTTATTATGGCGTCGCCTAAACCATATTTTTTAAACTTACCAGTTATCACATTATGAAAAAAACCAACTATTTCTCCAAATCCTCAAGTCATTTGCCAAACCACATAACACAACGTTAAAGTCTACACTGCTTCACGTTCTAGTAATCTATAAATCCATACAAAAGATATTATCCATCAGACATGGATTTTATTGCTTTATAACAAATATTATCCAACAATTTCATGATCCTAGAAGAGCCTGAACATAATAAAACATTTATAACGCATTGATCTGTCAAAGATATTAAGCCAAATAAGGCGATTAAACGAGCTTTACAACTAATACTTATTATCAAAAAACTTATTTACCTGTAATTCGTACAAGCGTTTCCCTTCCAGATAAATCAGTGACGTGCTGCAAACAAAAGATGGACACAAGATAGCTTAAATGCTAAAACCTAACAAATAATTTAAAAACAGAAGAAATCAAATTTCAAAACACTCACGATGAAAGTGTCATTGAAAGATGCAAAGATGTGAGCAACACCGAACACAATCTCCCCATCACGTACTTTAGGTCCAAGGGTCACAGTTTCCTCTTTAGGCTCCTTTGTCTTCTTTCTTCCCGACTACCAAATACCCAAACAACGAACACAGTTGAACGGAAAAATCAAAAGAAAGGTTAGGAATGCCGCAGTAACTCAGAACAATTGCATAAGAGTTTATACCACCATTATCGTTATAATAATTGGGGTAACTTTGTTCAGCCTAATACAACACGAAAAACAAACAAATCCAAAGCCTAGATCGAAAAAACAAAGCGCCAAAAAACATTTTTCAAACAAGTCGGTCCAGAATAGAAAAGTTCGCAGAGAATATCAAATCAAAAGCAAATCGAGGCCTCAGAGGTTATACCAAGCATTGGGCGATACTTTATCTTAGTTACCGACTGATGGAGTGCGATTTTGGAGGAAGATCCAAAATAACGAATACCATTACAGAACGTGAGCTTGATATCTTACCATGATCCCTTCTGCAGAGGAAGAAAAAATATATCAACTGCGTAGCTTCGACAGCCGGATAAGAAACCCTAGAGTTGCGCCGCACTAATAAGTCGCCCGATCGGCTTCCTCCAGCTTTTTATAGAAACCCTAGATGATAGTCAAATGACAAAAAAGTCCTTCGCGGGACGCCAGAAATGCATCGAATGACACGAAAAATAAAAATTTCCTCAGTTTTGCTATTAATTTCATGCGATTTCATGGTTTATTTATATGAATGCAATGAACAATAATTAACAAATTTTAATTTTTTTTTTTTGACAGTTAGGGATTTGCGCTGGATAAGATTAGAGGAATTTCTTCCACTACTATTAGGCCACATCCCCGATCTCATAAAAATCAAATTATTTTTTTTTTGGACATTTAGGCCATTTAAGTCAAACTCACACACACAACGCATACACAGAGACTCGAACCTTAGACCTCTTAGTTAGAAGCCTTAGCTCTCAACCAATAGGCCAAGGAGAGTTGTGTAAAATCAAATTATCATTTAACATAGGCTTCAACAAGAAAGATTTATTTTTATTTTTTTATTTTTGGCTTCAACAAGAAAGACGTCCCAAACGAAGACTTACTTTGGGACAATTTTTTTAATGCTTTATAAAACAATTTTTTAGTTATTAAAGCAATAGGAAAAACTGTCTCAAAACGAAGCTAAAATCTGATTGGGTGAATAAGGGTTCGATTGTGAAGGTTTTCTAGCAATAATCATATTTTCATTTTGTTATTATTTTCTCATTATTTTTTTAAAAAAATTTATTGTTAAAAATCATTTTGTTTGCAACCAGAGTAACTAAATTTTTGCTCATATAACTTCACACCCAATTTTATAAAATGTTACGGTCGTTCTAAACTACTCTAAATGTATTATCACAAATGATGCTATAATTTCTCAATGCACAACCCAAAAAAAAAAAGGGAGTTTTACATACATACCACTTAATACTATTCTATTTACATATTTAACACCTAAAACTTTAATATTACATAAATACCACCCATAGTTCATTTTCATACAAAATATGAGTGGTAGAAATGAAATATATGAGTGGTAGGAAAGAAATATAAGTGGTATATTTGATATTAAAATAATATAGGGTGGTATGAATGTAATATTAAAGTTTTAGGTGTTAGATATGTAAATAGGATGTTATAAAGTGGTATGTATGTAAATTTCCCAAAAAAAAAATTGCTTTTAGTTTCTTGAAGATAGGAGTGTCAATATTTTATAGTGTAAGGACATCTCAAACGGAGAACTCTATTTTTCACGATAAAATAAAGCAAAACTTTAAAATGTTGTGATGCTGCTTCAATCAAACGTCATTTTATATGCTTCTGCGAAGGTAACAACCTTCTCTCTTTCATATATTTTTTCAGTTGAAAGAGTAAAATAATGTAGATGAACAGTGCAGACGCCCCACAAGTAAATGACGGAATATTTCCATACGCTCGTTCGGTTGAAGATGTTCTAAGTAAGTAATCCTTTTATCGCCAATTACTACATTGTGGCGAGCAACAGATTGTTTAAAACCCTAACTCGTGATTTTTGTTGGCAGATTTCATGCGTCTGGAAAGAAGCCTCAGAGGAAAATTTCTCCTCTGCTGCTCCAAATCCTTGGGGAGCTTCTGGCACCTACAAAAAGCAAGCTATGTTGATGTGACTATGAAATGGAAGAAGGATCCCTCCTTCGACACCATCGACATTCTCTCCAAGTCCAGAGATCTCCGATCCCTCATCTCACTCAAGAACATCATCATCAAAGAGTCTGATCAATGTTTACCCATCTCCGCTGTCTCGAAGCGCGGCCGCGAGCTCGATGTCTCAGGCCGGGTTGCGAGCTTCCTTCGGCGATACCCGGCAATCTTTGAGGAGTTTACCGGTCCCAAGTACAACCTCCCCTGGTTTCGGCTCACCAAAGAAGCCATCGATATTGACAGAAAAGAGGGCGAGATCTACTTGAGGCGGCGGCCAGAGATCGTTGGCCGGCTGCGGCGGCTCATATTGATGTCAAGAGAGAAGAGTCTGCCCTTAAGGATTATCCAAGGAATGCTCTGGTATTTGGGTCTCCCTGAAGATTTCCTTAAGAATCCAGAAGTGGTTTCGGACGGGTGCTTCCGAATAATTGAGATTGAAGGCGAGGAGCAGTGGTTGTGCGCCGAAGCCGATTCCAACGAGCAAGTACTTTCTGTTTTGCAGAGAAATTCCATTAAACAGGGCAGTAGCGGTCCAGTTGCTTTCCCTCTCTTTCCTTCAAAGGGTCTTCGATTGAAGAAAAAGATAGAGAGCTGGCTGGATGATTTCCAGAGGCTCCCCTATATATCTCCCTATGAAGATTTCTCTTCTCTGGATCCAAACAGTGATGTATCAGAGAAACGAGTCGCTGGTGTTCTCCATGAACTCCTTAGCATTTTTGTGGATTACTCAGCGGAGAGAAGGAGGCTTCTTTGTCTCAGGAAGCACTTGGGTTTACCGCAGAAGTTTCACAAAGTGTTTGAGCGCCATCCTCATGTGTTTTACCTTTTTCTCAAGAGCAAGACTTGCTTTGTGGTTCTCAAGGAGGCTTATAATGGGTTGTCGGCATCTGCAATTGAGATACATCCAATGTTGGAGGTGAGAAAAAAGTATGTTGAGTTGATGAATAAGTCTGAAGTAATACTGAGAAGTCGTCGCAGCAGAAAACCGTTGGTAGAAGATGAGAGTTATTGTTAATTTTGATTTAGCAATGGAAGAAGGCTTGGAGAAGTGGTTCTGTAAATCCTAAAAGCAAGCATGCTCAAATTGGTAAGCTGAAATTCAAATCCTTATGAGAAATGGTACTATGTTTGTCCAATGATCAGCATATCCTGTAAGGATCCTCCTTACCGAATCATTGATATTGTCTGTTTTTTTTTTTCCCTTCGCATTTCCTTGAGATCTTTGAGCATATTTAGTTAAGCTAAACATGTTTAAACTATAATGAAAACCACACGATGAGATTATTAGGAAAATTCCCTGTATGGTATATGTTGTTTTCAGAACTTAGTTGTGGTAATAGCGAAATCAAGCTGAAAACTTGTAACGTTTCGTCTGATTATAATAACTTGTATAAGATGTGGAATTGCATATATGTTTTGAATCCTAATAAATAGCAAACATTTTGAAATGCTTAATTTTGGCATGCCTTTAAATATTACCATAAATCTTAGAAAATAGCTAAAAAGGGTAAATTTGTATGGATAATTAATATATCAGGTATAGAGAATAAAGTTGCTGTTGTATTTTTGTGAGTTACGTTAACCATCTCCTCAAAATCACAAATTCTTGGCTTTTCATGAAAAAAGATCACTATACTTCCTGTCCTGGTTTTCATCTTCTTTATCAGGACTACTTGGATAAACTTATTATTCCAATTGGATTCTTTCCTATTATTCATGGCTATCTTTATTAAAAAAATAAGTTTTGTATCCCAAGATCATATCTTCGAGGTTTTATGATCACCAAGCTTCATTTAGGGGTATAGCAATTCACTTTGGTAAAGATAACTTTATTAAGTTGGTAGATTCAATATTTTATTTTGTCCTTCCTAAAATGTGATTATGGACACATATCTATTGTCTCACTTACAAACTTTCCAAAACAACTAAACATAAAATTGGCAAATATATGGACTCTGGGAGGATTTCTCCATGGATATTTTTTAAGGATTTTCATGAACTTCTCATGGATATGATATTATTTTGTGGTTGTTGACAAGTTATCTAAAATGATATATTTCTTACCATGTTTAAAAACCATCAAGGCCTCACATAACCAAACATTTCTTCTAAAAAAATGTTAGACTATATAGTTTATCATAAATAATAGTGTCAGGCTGGGATTTTTTATTTGTTTTATATTTTTGAAAAATGTTATGAGACGGAAAGTTGTAAAGAGATCCTTAGCTAATTTGCTAATGTGTTTAGTAGATAGGAATATTGTCAATTGGGATTGACATCTAGCTTTTCTTGAATTTGCTTATAATAATATATTAATATTATTTCTAAAATGACTTTAAGAAATACATTTCAAAGTTATTTATGGTTATAATCCAAAGAAACTAATTGATATAGCAGAATTCCTCATCATTCATTTTCAGATGCTGCATTTTTATCATCTACATGAGTAAGTAAAATAACAAATTCATTTAAGTTAGTAAATATGTAAATGCACTAATTTCTAAATATTCTTATAGTGAATATAATGAAAGTGATCATGTTATAATTCGAATTTACCCGGGACTTTATCCACTAATTATAATAAACTTCATGCTAGTGCCTGGGATCTATTAATTTTTTTTTTAACTTGAATCAAATGCTTACTTCTTGCAATTGCTTTCTGATATATGCATAAGTCCTACTTTTAATAGTGAGGATATGAAACTGATAGGAAATACTTGGATTTCCAAGTGTTTCTTATCCAAAACCAAGATGAACCAATGCCAAACTGCTGTCCACAGCAGAAACCAGCCAGGAAACAGGGAAAAACAGGAAGAAAACGCGAGAAATCTGAGAAGAAATTGCACAAAACTATTGTATTTCAATAGTAGAAGCAAAAACCATAAGAAAGATACAATGTTCTTCGATTCGAGAGAAAGAACAACTCTCCAACAATCTTCGGCAACGCCAAGAGCCCAAACAAGAAACCCTAGAACTCCAAGAGAATACAAATTCCAGATAATCCCCCCTTCACCCCAAAACTCCTAAATAACCATAAAGGAGTTTTACAAAATGTCTAAACAGCCCCTCGCATTCAAAATTTCCCTCCCAAAAATCTTCCCTGGCCCCCGTCGGCTGTGCTTCGCCCGCTCGGTTCCGCCTCTTGCGCGCGGTTCCGTCGCGAGTAGACTTGGACCGGTCCCGGTTGGACCGGTCCAGCCGGCCCCTCCTGGGCCGGCGTAACAGAAACCTTATTAGGAAATCATTAAGCCTCAATATATGCAAAATAACACTATTTCAGTTGACACAAGTCCAATTTTGCATATTCCTCTTATCCCATAGTTCTTGAATATTGATAGCATCATTTCAGAAGATTTCTCCCTACTAACAAACACATCCCCTAGATTCTTGATCAGATGGAAAAATTAACCTCTTTCTAAGGACACTTAGACGACCATAGAAGACAGAGAAACTTGCTATCTTATTGATTAGTTCATGGACTTCAACATTGCAGAGATTTCTTGGAGCCTCTGCATCAAGATTTGTGCCATTCTTCATGCACAACTCTTCATGTAAGCTCATTGATGACTCATAATCTAGTTAAAATCATTGAGAGTAATTAAGAAACTTAATTTAAGGTTCCTTGATGGTTAGGTGACCATACCAGTCAAGGAAGCAAAAAACTTCATAAATTATTTGATTTCAAAACAACTATAATTTTCTTATTTGATCAATCTGAATTTTCATATTTTTGAAAGCTTTAAATATTTTTTATTTCTCTTATTTTCTTTCCCTTTATAATAGGGCAAATCATGAATCAATATAATAGTATTTTATTGGTTTCTAAGGCCTTCTAAGTTGTTTATACTCGAAAAAGGCCTATAAATAGAATATTGCTTTCATTGAATAAAAATTTCATTTTTTTTTGTGCAAATTTTGTATGGAAAGGCTTTGCAACAACTATACACTCTGATGAAATTTGATGGTGATCCCCTAGGGCTTTATTTAGTCTTTAATTATTTTTTTTATCCTTATTCATCATCTTTTCTAACACAATTTCTTTTATTATTAATTCACAATTAAAAAAAAAAATCTTTTCTAACACAATTCTTATCTTATCTACATATCCAATTTTTTTTTTAGAAGCTCTTCTAAATATTTCCAAACATCTATCATAATCTTCTAATATATCAACTCCCTAATAATCCTAAGATATCCTGCTAAACATCCAATATAGATAAATAATTTCTTACTATGAATAACCAAATTATAAATATCATAATTCCTTAACCCAAATCTAAAACCAATAAAACACACAATTAGTTTTCTAACGCCCAAAGCCTTTGATTTGGAGTTACTTCCCTTTTCATCCAAAAAAAAAAAACTTCCACTTCGGTAGCCTAAAGTTTCAGCACAAAATAATCCTTTCATCACCACCCTAAGAAAATACCAATCAAGTTGCTATCTCTATCATAAAGATTATGTAGACCCTACATCATATCTATGCTTGCTGATGATAAGTGATAATTCTTCCTAAAAGGTGCTGCATAAAGTGCTTCTCTCCATGAGCATTTGCAGGATAGAACTTTCCAGAAGCTTACAGTAGAACCATTGATGTAATTCTTAGAGTTAATGCCAGCCCTTTTTGTGTAATCGTCTTAGCAGCTTTATATGACAAATGTATATATATACAAGGTGGCTCTCTGTAGCTGATATCTGAAAAGACTTAATGAAGCAGATTTAACTTAACAGTTTTCTTCTTTATTCTTTTCTCTGCTCTCTATTTTCTGGCTCTTCTATTCTTGAGAATCCATACACCTCTTTATCAGTGTATGGATAACTATCTCTGAAGCACGGGTTGAGGGGAAAAATGGAGTACCTAACAACGCATTTTTACAGATAAAAACTACGAGATTGCCCCTTTCATTCTGGGGGTGACGGAGGGATCATATACAGAATTTTGATTTGTATTTCTTGATCAGAAAAGGTTGAAGATCTTCATGTACCTCTAAATGATTAAGGTTTTCTATTATCTATTGATATTGATATGTACTGAATTTTCATTTCATATTATACTGTTTAGAGTGTTAATTCAACTCTAATAGCATATATGGTATGTTCTATCACTGGACCCATCACATAGATATATAATTAAAATTGTGCATTTGACCTGTGTGGATGGTTTGATTGATGGATTTGTTAGATCAAATGTGTATAGAAATGCACATTTGAGTGGACTATTTTGGTTTCTTGAGAATCCATACACCTCTTTATCAGTGTATGGACATCTATCTCTCAAGGCTTTGTTCGGGATTGTTTTTATAAAAAATTTTATAAGCAGTGAAAAAATTGTGGTTAAAAGCGGTCCAAAATAAAGCTTTAGGTTTTGTTTGTGACAATTTTTTTACTGATTTGTTTTATTGCTTCAAAAAATTATGTATTAAAAAATTATTTTTTTCAATCAACTTTAAACTATTTAGGTTTGCAAAATAATAAAAATGTCTGTTTCATTTGGGACTGTTTTTTTTAAACAACTTTTTAGCGCAAAAATTTTAAAAAGAAAAAAAAAATTGTAATAGAAAGTTTTTTTAGATAGCAATAAGAAAATTATATCAAATGGAAGCTTAGACTCCTATTGAACAGTTGAAATTTATTTTAGCATAAAAATATGTTAGACCGGTCCACTGGACCGGTCCAGCCGGTCCGCACAGGACCGGCCCAGCCATAACGAGGCAGAAGCTTCGCCTCTCATTTCCGCATGCACGCCGCCGATTCAGCCGCATGCCCGAATAGGAAGGTTTTTGAATGGATTTGTAATTTTATTTGTAAGTGTTGTAATGCAAATAATGTTATTAGAACATTTTTTTTTTAAATGTTTAGAGCCATTTGTGACAGTCATACCGTCGTAACTTTTTATAAAATTGTTGTGAGAAAAATAATTTTGTTATTATAGTTGTAAAAAGTAGTCTTTCATCATAAAAATTTTGTAGTAGTCGTCGAATACATTTGTGTTTGCTGTTTGAAAATAGAAGTAATGAAAAAATTGTCGCAAACAAACTCAAGGAGCTTATTTTCTCTCTTTGTATGTTGAGGTTGAAGCTCCTTAAGCCGACTTGAATATTGTTATATTTGCTTCATTCATTCAACTTAGGCTTCGTTTGGGACGGTTTTTTTATTGCTTTCTAAAATGGAGTTTTAGTACAAAAATAAAAAAATTTGTACTAAAACTCCATTTTAGAAAGCAATAAAAAAGCCGTCCCAAACGAACCCTTAGGCTTTGGTGGAAAAGCTAATATATGAAGTCTTCGGTCTTGTTTGATATAGGTTTTTTACTATTTTATAAAGTAGCTTTCTAATGTAAAAAACTTTTATTCAAGAAATTTTTTATATTAAAAGGAACTTAATAAAATAGTAAGAATTAAGAAAGTTGTCAAGGATTCGTTCGGAATCGTTTTATTATTGCTTCTTATAACAAT